TTGGACAGCCATTTGTCTTGCATGGTATAAGATTCCTGTCTTGAGCAGTGGGTTAGACTAGAAGACCCATGAGGTCCCTTCCAGCCCTATGATGTTTTATGCCTTGATAATCTATATACTGGAAGATTTCTCATACTGTACTGCCTCTCCTGATTTAGAATTATTTCCCATCTGGTTTTAAAACCCATTGCAATATAGTTTTTGCTAATCTGCTATCCTCCACATATGTATCTCATATGAATCCTGGTCAATATGCTTCGTGTTCTGTGGTTGGGGAATCTAGAAGTTATTAAGTAATACATTTGAATAATATGTTGACTAAGGCCACAGAGCCAACTATCTAAACCAGTGGTTCTCAACCTTTCTAATGCCGCGACCCCATAATACAGTTCCCCATGTTGTGGTGACCCCCAACCACTTATACATCACTGGGTGCCCCGTGAAATGGTCGTTCGACCCCAAATGGGGTCCCGACCCACAGGTTGAGAACCACTGATCTAAACTGTTCTGATTCTTGCTTTAGAACAGGACTAGGCTACTTCCAGGTTGCACATGGTCCCATAAATCTCATTTCTTTAGGCCACAAATCCTCTAGGGATTACAAATTAGATGAAGTTTATTGCTGTTTTCCCCCACATAAAGCAAGTAAGAAAATGCATGAATTTGGGGGTTAATTTTTTAAATACGACATCATTAAATCTCCTTAAATTCATCCAAAGCATTGCGAGTAAACCAGCTCTATCCATAGGTATGAGATTATAAAATGGTTATCTTGTTTCCTGCAGTCTCAGTTTGGATGGAATTATAAAGTAACTGGGAGATCTAAAGTTTAGTAGTTAGTTAAAATATATGTAGTACATCACATCAAGGGACTAAGAATTACTGTTGAACATAGGATAAATCACTGAATGGAATTGTGCACTGCAGTAAGTTCGGTCCATGTTATGTATTTTGACTTAGGATCTTGTCCAATTGAAATGAAGAATCTGTGCAGAGACAAACCCATATTTTGGATGTATAAGCAATTCATGTTTTGATTACAGCCTAAGACTAAAATTCCCAGCTTGGATGAAATGTACATCAGATACGAAGACAGACATTATTCTAGACATTGAAACATATTCCTACAACTTGATTGGCATTCTTTCATATAAGAGATCAGATGATTTTTCCAGCAAGAAGCAGAAAACTGTGGTTGTACTATTGGAAAAAAAAAAACAGGGATAGAAACTTAGTAAATACACGGGATCTATGTGTGTGTTGAAAACCTACATTATTTAATATTTTTTCATGCTCTTTGTTAGAAAGAGCATAAATATTTTATAAGTATTGGTTTTTAAATAAAATTTTATACTTCATTATTTTAAAGGGCATTTAATGTAACTGAAACTTTTTAATAAAGAAACTCATTTGATTTCATCTAAAGCATTTCTTTCCTGTGTGTTTTAAATTGCTGGTTTTTAATCCCCCAATTGGACATCAAGAGGCATTATAGCAGGTGGCAGAAATAGGGATCTCTTGCCTAATACATGCATTCTTACAGATCCATTATTTTTACCAAATTAATTGCCTGTCTGGATGCTGAGGCTTTTATAAGCATAAATTCTTTCCTGTCTCCCTAAAATAATTTTAAAATACAGAGAAATATTAGTCAGTGAAAGATGAGACATCCAACTCATTTTAATAGATTGCTTCAACATGAAATATCCCCGCCACGAACACCAGATTTTAGCAACATCTCTTTTGGCCTGCCAATAGCGTATTCCGTGAGGTAACCAGTTGATGCCAGGAATGCAGCAAAAAGAAACCCCAATTAAAAGACCGTTTTTTAAAAAACTGTTTTCAAGGGAGCCTAATTGAGGGCAGTAGTCAGTTCCGTGGGAACAGAGCACCCCAGGACAACAAGCCTCAGAATACCTTATTGGGAATGCAGTCTTTTCAAGGGTGTTTTATTCTGGAGGACACAAAATAGGGGGAGTACAGGAGGGGAGGGAAAACCGGGGTGATTCTTCAGTAGCTAAAGAACTAAACAGGGAGTTCTTTTAATGGGCCCAAGATGAAGCAGGAGTACAGGTCCGGTTGAAAGGAGGAGAGGAAGAGCATGTGATGGAATTACTTAGTCTTCATCCACACCTCAATAATTTGAGCCCAGTCCATATGACACCAGTTCGCTTAGCGAAAATGTTTTAAAATGTTTCGGATATTTGCTGGAAATGTAAACAACAGCCAGGCACTTATTACCATGCCTGGTGGACATGCCCTGTCGCTAAGAAATATTGGTCTAAGATTCATAGATGGTTGGAAAAGATGATGAAACTGCAAATAGAATTTAAACCAGAATTGTTTTTGTTAGGAATATTAAGACCTAATTATGGCAAAGAGAATGACTACTTGATATTGCATGTTTTAACTGCTGCAAGGATAGTATTTGCCCAATTTTGGAAAAATGAGAATCTACCATCTGACCAGATTATTATTATTAACAAAATTTTAGAGTGTGCAGAAATGGATAGACTAACATTAGAAATGAAAGAAAAAGATGATTCAATTTATTTTAGAACTGGGGAAAATTTTTTATCAATGGTTAGAGACACGTTAGAACTGGAAGGATTTAATATTTTAGAATAGATGACTGATTTTTAATCGAGTTCTAACTAACATTTTGATGATACGATTACTTTTCCTGATTTACTGATTTTCATTTGTTACTTTTGATTGTTAGGATTTTTTTTTGAGATTTTATTAGTAGTGTTTACTTAATAGATCAACATATTTTTTTACTAATTGTTTTTAATATGTTACAGTTTAAGCTCTGTTAAAAATGGTTGAATATGATATTTACTCCTTATTGTGAACCGGACGGTTGCTTGTTTGTTGAAATATGTGATTGTACCTATCCTGACTTTACCCTAATTCCTTATTTCCTTCCCCTCCCCCTTTCCTTTTACCTCTCCCTTTACCATACCTGTATTTTTCCTATTTTTCCTCACCTATATAAATGTAATAAAATTTTGTTTAAAATAATAATAATAATAATTTGAGCCCAGTCCACCTGAATAGTCTTTTCTCATAATATAATCTACTGGTGCAGCTGGCTCTGTGAACTTCTTTGTGACTGTGAAACGGATAAATATTTTTAATAGGTTTTCGCAGGTTTCCACTCAACAGATTTCTATAATATCAAGGATTACATAAAAAGCAACATCCCAATATGTGCAGTCCTCGACTTACAGCAGTTTGTTTAGTGACTGTTCGAAATTACTAGTGGTATTGAAAAAGGTGACTGGACTGTTTTTCACATTTATGACCATTGCAGCATCCCCATGGTTGCCTGGTCAAAATTCAGACATTTGGCAACTGGCTCATATTTATGACGGTTGCAGGGACTCGGGATCCTGTGATCCCCTTTTTGCGATCTCCTGACAAGCAAAGTCAATGGGGAAGTCAGATTCACTTATAATAACCATGCAACTAACTTAACAACTTGACCACATAACCACCTGTGACAAGAAAGGTTCTAAAATGGGGCAAAGCTCACTTAGTAAATGTCTCACTTAGCAATAGATATTTTGGACTCAATTTTGGTCATATGCCGAGGACTACCTATACAGTTTAAAACTAGTATATTTCAGCCAAATACTAATCATAGTTAGGAAAGGAGAATGTGGGAGACTTAATTTCATTGCTGAACCACCTTACCCAGCTTGGAAACTCCAGTCGGAATTAGCCTGGTTTAAAAATGCTATCTAAATATGGCCGTACTAATTCTGTGTAGGGAAACTTTGCATTTAATTAAATTAATACTCTTAAGCATCTAAGAGTAAAGAGCATGGCGACCCAAAGTCGATTAAAAACATGTTCCATGCCCATGTTGTGTTTTTGGAAAGGGTATTTTGATGAAGGCAACTGTGATCAAATTAGCTGAGCCGAAAGATTCAGAATTAAAACATTCAAACAGAATCTTCACTCAGGACTGATTTCTGATATCAGAACACTCCCTCACTAATAATATTCACTGGACACTTAACACTAATATGTTAGGGTAAAACCTCTTGTTAATTTGTTGGACCTCTCCACTCCAGCAGTCTGAAGTTAAAGAGCAGTTGCTCATTTGCCTATTTCTGAAGATGTTTCGGTCTCGGTTTTAGAATGCTAATGACTTGGAAGTCTATGGTATAATTAATATCCATCTCTTTATCAACACACTGATATCTGAACTTGTTTCTGAGACGAAAGCTGACCAAATGTAGTTGAGATTTTTATTCGGAGAGTTTTGAGACATATTTTTTTAAATATAAATTTACTGAACGTTTTAAAAACAAGAGTAAGATAATATGAACTAAAGTAGAATAAGAAAAGAAAAAAGAAATAAAGGAGAAAGCTAAAGTTCCAAAAGAAAAAAAATAGCTAGAAGAAAAATAGAAAAAGAAAGAAAAAAGATATATAATGAACTGGCTTCCACTCTTCTTTACAACAGTTATAAGTACAATTGTAAGTTCACTTCCTTCGCTAAAGTTACAACATGACTCCTCTTTCTATAATCTATCCTATCCAGTGATGGGATTCAGCTGGTTCGCACCACTTTGGCAAAACTGGTAGCTAATTTTTTGTTGCCCAGGCCCAGAATGGACTTCCGGAAGCAACATCCACACAGAGAACCAGTTGTTCACATATTTGAATCCCACCAATAATCTTATTTAATTATTAAAACCGTACATCATAAATTCATTTTTTTTATTTTACGCAAAAAGTCCATAAGGGATTTTGAGTTTTGAAACATCTGGTGAAGGACCAAAACTTTTCAAAAATCTGGTTTCCCAAATAACCATCCACAATCTGAATTATTGCTTGCTAATGTGTAACATCTCTTTATTCGTATGTTTGTTCATATTGCATAGATTCAACCTGCATCATTTCCAAGAGACTGGATTTCTGAACGTCTACAATAAGTTTTATCTCCTCTTTCTCTTATCTCTCTTTCCTCTGTATTTTTCGATTAGATGTGGAGCAAATGGCTATTGATTGGCTTACTGGCAACTTCTACTTTGTGGATGACATTGATGACCGGATATTTGTCTGCAACAAGAGTGGGGTCACCTGTGTTACACTGCTTGACTTGGAGCTGTACAATCCTAAAGGCATTGCGCTGGATCCAACAATGGGGTGAGAATCCATATATGTACTTTTAGATGAAAACTAAATTTATTTCTGCCTTTGTTTTTTCCCAAACCCACAGTCCCTGAATGCTTTGTTAGTCAACAGTATCAAATGTGAGTTTAATCCAAACTAAAAAATTTTGAATCCTGGATTTACTTGCAGGTGAAGGGGCTTGGCTTGGTATGCTGATTGATATTTGGGTAGAGGAATAGGAAGTCAGTCTTCCCATGGACTTCCCACCACCAACCTATACTGAGCATTCACAAAACCTTTAAAAGGGATTCCCCCTGCATTTGCACAAAATAAAAAAAAAAGTTTTTTTTTAAAAAATGTGCAATTTTGTTTCAAAGTCTAACTTTTGATTATTAATATTTGCCAACAAACTGCTAAATGTCTTGAGAGTATCTTATTCTGTATTTCTCGGCATCCTATGATCTTCATCAACAGTTCTTTGTCAGTTAATTTTGTCAAATGAGGCAAGGCAGGTGGCTGAAAGAAAGACATTTTAATGGTGGTAGGGAATGCCTTGTCTAGAATGGGGTCTTTTTTCTCTCTTGCTAGTTTCTATGCCATAGATGGAATTGTTAACATTTGCTTTGGCATTATTAAAAATGCTTTTATTGTGATGTTTTACTGTGATTTTTTTCCCTTCTTATTATATATTTTATGGTTTTTTTTATTGGGTTTTGTCTCACTTAGTTTAACATGATCTGTTTGGAATATTTTAATCTGTTTTTCTGCACTAAGCAGGAAGTTGAGCTCAATGACATAAAGGGTCAATGTCCATTTATATCCCTCTAAGAGTCATGATCTTTGAATGTATTTCATCTGTAGGGCCAAGGAGAGAGAAAATAGGTGGATATTTAAGTTCTCACCCTCCCACTTGCGTTTTTATTGCCATTTTAAAGAAAAGTGCTGAATTGATTTAAGCAGCAGTTGTACCTGTTGATAAGCAGATAGCCACAACATGCTCTTTTTTGTTTTGTGTGCAGTTCAAATGGTTGTAACATATTCCAAATGAAATTACAGAGATCATTCTGTGCTTTTCATTTGACGGGAATCTCTCCTTTTGCTGGAGGCCTCCTAGAGCTGAATTGTTCTTGTTAGACTCTTCCATTCTTTTTTTTTTTTTGGCCTATCAGAACAGAAATAGTAGTTTCTTAGTATTTTCTGCCCTCTGTTTGCAACTACCTTTTATTTCTTTTGAATATTATCCTTTCTTGTTTCTTTATACTTGCTTTGATTTTTTTTCCTTTCTCCTTTTTCATTCTCTCCTTTATTTGTCACTGTTGGGTGTTTTGAAGACCTTCCTCCATATTGCCTGACTTATGACAGTATATTTCCTCTGATCCTTCAAAATTTTGTTTAGGAAAGAGTATTACTGAATTTTATTGTCAAACCTCCAATAAGCCTACTTGTCGTATTTGAGATAATGTTTCTACAGTGTACTCAAAAGGGCAGAAACTGCCAAGACTTTTTTTTGGGGGGGGGCAGGATCTCTCTCTCTCCCTCTCTCTCTCTCTCTCTCTCTCTCTCTCTCTCTCTCTCTCTCTCTCTCTCTCTCTCTCTGGCATCTAAATAGGATATCTAATTAATCTTTGGTATTGAAGTGTCAGCTTGATCTTAGAAACGAGGCTTACTATCATTAGTGTTAAAGATATTAATCATCTTTCACTTGCAGTAGTGGCAGATATGTGTAGCTTGGGTGTAGGATGAGGGTGAAGATTTGTTCTCAAGTTTATTGGTTGGTGTCTGAATGTTTAGTTACCAGGCTAGGTTTCTTTCACTTCTCCCAAATGTAACACAGAACACTGAGATCGAGCCTTACAATTCGTCTTGCCATATCAGGCAGATCAGCCCTACAAATAAGATCTCATCTTGGATTCTGACATTGATGGCACTGGCTCCAGGTCACACCTCTCACCCAGCTGTTGTGCTTGGACTGTATGTCCAAGAGTGGCCCGTGGAAGGAGAAAAATCAGGAACTGTGTCCATATAAGCCACCACTCCCTATTGTCCCATCTTCTCTTCACTCCCAAAAGAGCATAGAGCAGGTCATAGGGAATAGACACAGCCTAATTGGTTTCGTTGCTTTGGTATGGTCGTGTACATATTTTATCAATATATTTATGACATTTAAGTGTGGTTCATTTAACGCCCATTGTAAACGTCATAAAATTGGGTCCAGTCATGTGGTGACCCTCTTGGTGACTGATATTCCAGTCCCAATTATGATCATAAGGGCTACCTACCTCAAAGGGGGTAGGTCCACTATTTTGCAGTTTATGCACATTGTTTACAGCAGGGGTCCCCAACCCCCGGTCCGTGGACCAGTACCGGGCCGTGGCGTGCCAGCAACTGGTCCGCATAAACAAGCAAAGCCCCATCTGCGGGATGCAGGCAGCACACAAAACCACGCTCCCTCCAGTCCATGGAAAAACGTCTCTCCAGGTAACCGGTCCCTGGTGCCCAAAAGGTTGGGGACCTCTGGTTTACAGGGTTACTGATTGGAGGACAAACCATTCTCTAGGCTTCCCAGCTCCAAAAGAATGTGAAATCTGTATTATGTTGAATACAATTATTGTGCCTTCCTCTGTCAAATTAATTATTGTGGAAGCCTGGATAAAGAAAGCAAAAAATTGGATGGATTGGAAAAAATCTCCTCTCCTCTGTGCGAATGTTATTTCTTCATCTGATGAATGATCAGATGTTCTACCTACTGCCTTTTCTGTGGGGAAAGGTGGCTTTTTGTCCCCAAGTACCTGAAGAGGAGTTCAGCAGTGGGAGTTTTCCATAGCAAAGCACCGTGGGTGACTATGCAGATGTACCGTAGGAAATTTGGCAGTAAAAATGGTAATAACATTGATTGTTGGTCACAGTGATATTTCTGGGAGCCCTGCTTGGGTCCTTCTGGACTTCTCCTTGAATCTGAAGCCAGACCTAGCTCTTCCATCTGAACAGAAAATTGTTTTGGGCTGAAGCTTGTAGCTATGGTGATTTACTATGTTGTCTTTTGCATACCTGGCCATAGTTTTGGCCATTCACCACCGGATTAAGATCTCAGCAAGCAAGTGGTGACAGAGTTCCCTGGTTCCACCTGAGAACGTGGTAGTGGCTTGTAATCATAAGGGTTACTTCTCCACCCAGACGGATGAAACTGACCACCTCTCTCTTCAGACAAATCCTGACTTTGCTAGGGAAGAGAGGCTTAAGCACAGTTCTCCAAGGCTCATGCAGTGGGAGCATCTGTTTTCAATATCTCAAAATTTCACTGGGCTGAAGGGAGATGGGGTTCCTTTCCTTAGGAAATCTGTACATCACGCTATCCCAAATAATAGCCTGCCATTAAAAAGAGGTCAGACTAGCTCGCAGTGGTGACCACTGCAGATATTTACACAGATATTGTTCTAAGGCTTCAGTTTGCATTAAGAAATTAATGTTTTCAATTTCAGATGTTGTATTTACATTGGATTATGCTACTCATTTTGTATAGTACTTACAGTATATACAGTATGCTGCCCAGAGTCCAGTGAATGAATGAGTGATCCAATGAAGATCCTTCTTATCAGTGTCCATTCATGAATATCCTAATTCTATTCAATCGTTTGAGTCAGCAGAACAGTTTAATAAACGGGAGACTGAACAAGGCCATTGTTCACAGTCTATTTTGAGAGTGAGAATACTGTAGTCTTATTTTGCCATCTTAGTCAGCTCTCAATAGATAGATTTTGTAGGAGAATAGGAATGGCCACAGTCCAAAGATTGGAGCTGGAAAATGTTTAGTTTAGCATTTTTTGGCAGTCCAGTCTTCAAATGATTGCTTTTAAAGAAGAAGAAGAAGTCAAAAGCTACATTGCAGTTGCATATTTTATCATTTGTTACCCAACAACAATAATATTTCTATGCTAGGGTTCCGGTGACATAGAAATATGACAACAACAACAGTAGTAGTAGTAGTAATAATAGTAATAGTAGTAGTAGTAGTAATAATAATAATTAATATAAAGTTGGAAGGGACCTTGGAGGTCATCTAGTCCAACCCCCTGCTCAGGAAGGAAACCCTATACCATTTCAGACAAATGGCTGTCCAGTCTCTTCTTAAAAACTTCCAGTGTTGGAGCATTCACAGCTTCTGGAGGCAGGTTGTTCCACTGGTTAATTGTTCTAACTGCCAGGAAGTTTCTCCTTAGTTCTAGGTTGCTTCTCTCCTTGATTAGTTTCCATCCATTGTTTCTTGTCCTGCCTTCAGACGCTTTGGAGAATAGCTTGACTCCCTCTTCTTTGTGGCAGCCCCTGAGATATTGGATATTGAAATAAAACATTTTTCTCACCTAAAATGTTTCTAGTTTCTTTCAATAAATGCAATATCTAGATCTCGTTTAGGAGGGTAGATTTAATTATTTTCACATTGGACAGTGAAACCTATGTATAGGTGTTTCATTGCACAAACTATGAAAAGAATACGACGATACATAGAAAACATCTCAGAAAGAAACGGAAGGACTGTTGCAGTCACACAGGGTCACCTTAGCATGCAAACCAGTGAAATCTTAAGGAAACCCAAAAGCCAGTTATATTGTGTAGGAGGGTACTGCTGCTGAGATGAATTTGCTAATTAGTAAACTACTAAGAAAATATTTTGAAAAACTCTTATCTCTGAGATTATGTAGGAGACATCTTCCTATTCTGAACAGACCCAGACATCTGTGTTCCCCCCCCCCTTCCTCTCTCATATTTAAGATAGCATTGTGGTTGGTATCCAAAACCTCCTCATTACCCTAGGAAGCCAGGATAACTCCTGCCTTGTCTAGCAAGTGGCAGCTTCTGGCGACTATACGGTGGCCTGTCTGGAGCTTCAGTCTGTTTATCCCATACAGCATGGAGCTTCCAACACTGGAGCAAGCCCCACCAACTTTCAAGGACGCTTTGATGCATTTGGAAAGATATCAGCACAATTTAAATGTACTTGCTATCTTCCCTGCCTAGAGGAATTTTCAACCTTTGGA